TGGTGCTTCTCCCAGGGCTAGTCTGACAGCTGTCCCTCCGGTCACCACAACCCCACGAGCACCTTCATCATGAGGATGGCCCCGGTACCGCGCTGGTAAGAGCCGCCCAGTGGTGGTCTTCGGTACTCCCTCGCTGACAGATGTCTCTATCGATGAGCTCGGCCCCTCTGGCCAGACATGCGGAACTGGGGCTATCCGATGGACCTCAGAGCTAGCCATGATCGAGCTTCTGATGGTAGGCCGTGCCACATCGTCCCACTCGATAGACCCAATACTCACAGTCTCTATAACCTTGCCAACCTCCACCGCCGTAGGGGCCATCGACTCGACTAGCCCCGTCTGCACCTCTTGCTCGACCACGTCCACTGTATGTGCGTGCAGTGGGCTTGTAGTACCGTCAAGCCTGATGAGATCATCCGTCTGAACTCCCACTGTTACTCCTTCAACCATCACCATTGCCTGGCACTCTGCATCGTGAGTGGTAGTGATGGGTCCGTCTTCGCTCCTTTGGCCCTCCTCACTCGTCTGCACGCCTGTGCTGACCGTGTGTGAAGATCCTCCAGCGCCCACAGGCTCGGAACTGTCCGACGGCTCTGCTTGGACACCAACGTCAAACTTGGCTTCACCACCATCACCAATTCCACCGACCACTTCAGTTTGAGACCCGGAAGTTACCCCAGAGGGCATCGTTGTCTGCGTTGATGTTTCTGATACCTCCAGCTGGACCTGAGCCCCTCCCTCCACAGTCTCCACCCTGCAGGTCTGACTGTCGACCTCGAAGGACTCGATCCGATCTGTGATGACACCTGCCGACACCAAGCGTCGCACTGGGGTCTGCGTCCCGGCCACTCGAGACTGCAGTCTAGTCTGCGTCATCCGACTAGGCCGTAGCTGTGGGTTGGTCTGAACCTCCCTCCCAAGAGTGACCACTCTACGGGTTTGGCAACCTACTTGGGCTTGGAACAGTGACTGAGTCTGCATGGCGGCTGTCGATACGCTCACGGTCCGAGTCTGGGTGCCAACCTCCCCCTTAAGGACCGTGTCCATCTGCACTGCTGAGTGGACCTTTCTGGTCATCCCGAGCCACTTCCGCATCGCTCCGCCGATACTATGATAGTACAACCGCAAGGCTACTCCCCATACTACTCGGGCGACCTGTTTTTCCCTTCTGCCCATTAGGACCAGGCGATACCATCTTTCCCACACAACGCGGACCAACCCCAGCCTTCGAAGCTTCCCCCTAGTAACGACGAAATACCATCGATCGAGAGCCAGGGCCAACGTCTGCTGACGACACTGTCGAGCTAGATCGGCCATGGCCCGCATGACTACCCTCTGACGCTGGGCTGCCAGGCCCTCGACCTT